TAAAATTATAAATTCAAGTTACAGACAAATATTAGATAGCAAAACAAATGATGCAGTTTTCTATCTAACATAGACTAGTACATCCCAAAAACTTACATATATTTAGGCAAACAAAATCTCTCTAATATATGGTTTAGACAAATAATTAAGAAAAAAATTACATTTCTTTAGAATATAGTCTTGAGCAAAAATGATAAATTAAAAAATATTACTTGAAAATCATTCTGATTCGCTTTTTGTTAAGTTTGACCTTGCAGTTTCTTCATAATAATAAGTGAAAAACAATATAACGAAGTTCTTAAGCGAAATATACTTGCATTTAAGCGAAATATCATATACATATATTATATATATATGTATATCGTCTTATTATATTGCAATATTATTATCTTAAAATTTGTTATATTATTAAATATAATATATTACTTACCGTGTTTTTAATTGATGGATTTAGAATAATACGTGTTCATTCCTCATAATATCGAAACCATTTATTTCAATTAATTTTAAATTGTATAAGTATAGTTTTAATATAAATTTCCTACTGCAGTTGTAACAACCGCAGTACAATAATTTACATAATCCATCATTAAAAATATTCCAACATGATTTATATATAGATTATTAATTTCTTTTAATTTTTACTAATAAAACTTTAATTTTCATGAATTGGTTTTGTCCAATTTTACGATAATTTTCGTAGCATTATATTGATACTTTAGTCCTAAAATCACTTAATTATGTCGATCACCGATTATGATTTTTTTTAAATAAGCTTTAATTTAAATGAACCTAGATTATTTAAATTGAGAACAAAATATGTGTAAAAATTGAGATATATAAAATGGTATCCCTAATGGTCAAAGTTGTTTTGCATTTTACATTGCCTTTTTATTTTTTTGATCTTGTTAGGGTGATATGTAAATATCGAAAAAGGGTTGAAACCTTTTTTACCACTTCAAACGGCGCGCACTCTTTAATAATAAGGTGTTTCCTAGTCACCCTTAAAAGGGTGTTGTAAAAGTATTAGCCATTTGAATTATCTCGATTTTGTAGAACTTTATTATTATTTTTTCAGGTTTCATTGATTACTTATCTATTAAAATGCTTAGGATGTTATTCATTTTGTACATTTACTCTACTTTAGTTATTATATATATTTTTTAGTTAAATTCATACAATGTTGTAATTCAGGAGCTTATAACACTTTTCGTAAATATTTTTTTTTTATATTTTAATTGTTTTATTAGTATAACCATTGATGTTGTATATTGTTTAAATTCTCTTTTAACTGTCGTTTTTCTAATTAAAAGAAAATAATAACTTATTATTTATCTGAGAGAACTCTACAATTCAATTCACACAAAATGCACTTAAAGCACTCTAAAGGCATAACGACATACATCACTAGATCAATTTGTCTTTTATAAGTAATTATAATTTATTATTCATTTTATTGATAATTATTTCTTTTATGCTTACATGTTTAATAATTATTCTGTAGTTACTTCATACCTTTAACTATAGCTCTCTCTGACTACAACTCCCAATGCTTTTGGCCCACTAAAGTCATAACATCAAACAACACAAGATCAATTTGTATTTTATGAGCAATTATTACTTATTATTTATTTTATTAATAATAATTTTTTTATGATTACATTTTTAATCATTATTCTGTAGTTACTACATACCTCAAACTATAACTATAACTCTGGCTGCAACTCCGAATGCTTTTGGCACACTAAAGACATAACTCCATTCATCACTAGATCAATTTAAATTTAATGAGTAATTTTTACTTATTATTTATTTTATTAATAATTATTTCTTCATGATTGCAATTTTTAATTATCACTCTGTAGTTACTACATAGTTCCAACTATAACTATAACTTTGACTGCAACCCCCAATGCTTTTGGCAACACTTTCCGACACTCCATTCCGTTTCGAATGTGTTTACGGATGGTTCTAGACAAAAGCGTAGTCTTTCCCAAGATTTATATATTTTTCGCGGTCGAGGTCGTGAAGTCACCATCGAATAATCTATTTCATTTCATTCCCTTTCTCTCCCATTGCCGAGAAATCACTTTCAGGAACCCCGAATAACGCGGACCGACTGTCTCTAACTTTTTCTCCTGTTATAGACGGCTCTACGCTTTGTTGTTTTTATTAAAAAATTCCGCAGTGGGAATCAAAATTGAATTCTGGGTGTATTACAATATACGGTGGAAGTAATCGATGTAGATTTGTTTTCTGTAGCGTTCTGCTTACTAATTGGGAAATGATCGAATTTATCTTACTCGGAGCAATAAGGAAGTGTAAACAACTGCGCTGGAAGTATAAATCATTAAATAAATTGGAAAAGTTGAATTAATACGTTTTACAGCAAACACGTGTTGTTATATTTATATATGTAATATATTTTATGTTACATAAATCCTGTTTCACAGATATTAAATCAATTATAAATTTCTCATTTGTAACTTCTCATTTATTAGATGTGGTTTATTTTGGATTTGAGAATAAATATATTATTTAACTTGTAGTGTATGGCTTCGAGCCTTAAGGCAAATTGCTGGAACTTCTCATACCGTAATGAAATATTCGAGATTATTAAATATTTTCAAATATATTGAAAATACTGTAACTTTCATCATTCGTATTTTATAGGCAAAATAGAAAAGCTTATAAATTGGACGATGACGTTTATACTATATAAGTAAGCGGAGTTAGAATAAAGGATCTTATCTCATATGTCTAAGAATTATATTTGCTGAATTGCGAAGATTAAGTTATTTATCTCAAGTATATGAAATTTTAGCGAAAATTAAACTTAAAATCCGAATTGTTTCCGATATCAAGAAAAAAATGAAAATTCAAAACAAAAAAAACTTGCTTTCCATAAAATTATTCGTTTCGTCAATACATGCAAAAGGTTTTTTGAATAATTCAAATGGGTTTTTTCGTTCTCTCAAAAACTACCAATTTTTGCACATTTATCTTTGAAACGGCTGGACCTGTCTTTGCCTAAAACTAGTCACTACATCTCCCCATCATTACGAATTGTATGTTATTTGAATCATTCAAATCGGATGCTCCATACTATTAAAAACTCGATGTCTATTTTTTGAGTTTTTTGCTCCTTATCTCCGAAACGGCTGGACCTGTCTTTGTCAAAAACTAATCAGCATATCTTCCCATCAGTAGGAGTCGAATGTTTTTGAATCAATAAAATCAGTTGATTGTTCGCCCTAAAACGTGGACGAATAGTTGTTCCGTACATTCACACACACATTCATTTTTTCTAAGATATGCCAAAATGTTCAGAAACCTTCAATATATGGAAAATTTTCATTCTCGGTTTTTGGATGATTAATAACTTATCCTACGGCAAGTTAAAAATTGTAGATAGTATAAATAAAAAAAGAATATGTTATTCAGATTTTATAAGTTTGCAGACATAAATTTATCGCGAATTCTAAAATAAAAATCAGAACAATATAAGCAGCATCAAGTTATGAATTCTTTCAAAATAATTTTTAGGAGCTCAATTTTAATTAACAGCTAATGAAAAGTTCATACAACTTTTTAATCAATCTCAAGCTCGCGTCGAGATTTTAGCATTAATCTCGCTAAATTTCTGACATCGCCTCCTCTTAATGAGAAATCGGAATTTGTAATAGCGACGCACTCGGAGGGCATACCGCCCGCGGCGTCCGGCGCGTTTTTGGGCACCCGACCCTAGAGGCGGGGGCAGCCGTTTTCCAGTGGCGTAGGTGTGATTTATAACCGCCGGGGATTACTGTCATAATCTCGTTCTCGTAATTAAATGGGGACGCGTGCCCCTTTACGTAAGGGATGCATTCCGGGCCGAAGACTTGCATCGATACGCTTGGGGTACGAATGCAAAGGAAGTCGGTTCAATCTGAGAATTGTATGCAGTGTAATGGAAAGCTGAAGATAAGCGAAGATTTGCTTTGGATAGGTCTAGATTTGGTTTTAATCAGGAGGAAGTGTTTGCTCTGAGTGTATAAAAGGTTACTGAACACATATTATTAAGATTAGTTTGACTAAAATTAAAATTTTTTGTTTATAGATTCATTTAGCAATCAGAAAAATTAAAATATTTCTATAAGCTAAAGTGAGGACTAAGTGAATATTTAAGTAAGATAAGATTCAATGATCTTTCTTACAATATGTTTCTTAAAATATATATCTTCAATGATCGTAATTATGTATTATCTAGAGGCGATTTTCTCTTCAATCTTGTGTTTTGTTGGGGGCGAAGAATGTCCTTCATTCATTTGGGTGCATCTCTAATTTGTTGCCATATTTTGATGACAATCCTTTGTAGGTTTCGTACAAAGTCAACATTTTTAGATCGCCATAGACAGTTTGATTAGTGATATACTAGGGAGAGTTGAGTATTATTCTCGATATTTTAGTTTGCATTCTTTGTATAATTTCTAAATTCGATTTGTAGGCGCATTCCCATAGCTCTCGCCCGTAGGTCCATATTGGTAACCAATAACAAATTTATCTCCTGCATTTTTAGTATAATTTGTTCCTGTTTCATCTTTATGTGTACTTTCCCTGTGAGTCTTGTATCTAGATGAAGTCTCAGATATTTTGTTTAAAATCGGACGTCACGTTCTCTTAAAAACTGAGTCACAGTTTTGGCACTTTTTGCCGCGTATCTTCAACCTAAACCGTGGACGGAAAATTGTATCCATACATATACACATACACATACATAAATTTTTTCCAAGGTATGCCAAAATATTCAGAAACCTTCAAAACATGAAGATATGCAAAAATTTTCATTTTCGATTTTTTGCGATTACTATAACTTACCCTACGTGAAGTTAATGAACATAAAATTTTTATTTTTGATTTTGAGAAGTTGAAAATAGATGATTATTATATAGTTTAAAGTCAATTGAGACAAGACTATTTTTTATACATTAAACATTTAAATTTTATTACTATTATTCCAGATTTCACTATGTGACGACTACAGTCTTCCCGTAGATTTCGTAACCCGTCGCCAACGTGGTTTCCAGGAGTACGACGATCAATCGAACGCCCCACCGCAGCAACAGGGGGTCACTTTTGCCGATGAGCAGGCAAGTTATTTGCTATTCTACTTTTATATTTTACTTTTTATTCAATGCGATTCAAATCTTTTTAATAGAATGAATGTGCACAGAATCGAGTAATAGGTGTCTACACATGTTAGTTTTCCACGAAGGAAAATGATTGATTGAATAGCATGATTATGCAATTTCAGGAGTTGTAATGGTGCGATTAAGTAATTACAGGTCGTTGAATGGAAAATGGGAAATACAGTTGGGTGAATGGGTACATATATACGTTAGTATATAAAAGTTTTTTGTAGTATTTGTAAACTTTCCGTAAATGACCAGTCATTAACCTCTTGAAAACAAGTTTCTACTATTTACTTTTCACACCAACAAATTTGTACTTAAGTTCTGAAATAAACTGAGGTGAATTTTAGTAATGATTCAGCTCTTAAAAATTTGTGATACTTCTTTTTTTACAAGATGCTCCTACAAAACCTTTTCTTTCAATTATCCAACATTCCACTGAAATGTAAAACTGGTAAAAAAGGGAAACAATGAATTTTATTCTTTTTCACTCAACCGGGACCACCACATTCTATTCTCATCTTACCATCTTCCCATCTTATTGTCGATGTAAAAAGGTTGTCTCATTTCCTTATCGTCGGGTACGCACGAGACATCAATAAACCATTCAAGAAATTGAGCAACTTTCTATTATGCGAACTCGACACTCGACATTCGGCACCCACAATTGCGCGTACTCGGATATACAGAATGCTGGGGTAATTCAGACCACATTTAGGAAAAAATATATAAAAACTTTCATAAAAGAGCTACTGAATATGGTACAATCGTCATAACATCTAAACTATGCTGATTTTGAGATAGGGTCCAAAGGAAAAAAAAGAAGTATGTTTATTCGATCAAGTTTCCATTATTACATTGAGTCAGCGCCTTACATTAATATGATCTGTACATCGCATTGCTTTTAAAAAGTCAAAAGTGAGTTTCTTTGTTAGATTTTTTGAAGTAAATTTTCTTTTGGGTGTAAATCCGTACAAAGGCAACGGAAATGCGTTACGGCGGACTGTGCGCCATTCGCTTTCGATGAAATCATTTATATATACGGGTTGATTGTGATTAGTCGTCGTGTATGCGAATAGAGATCTGTCGTTGTATGCGTACCGACATCAACGTTGTGTGCGTTCCGATATCAACAAGAAAATCGCCATAGATAAAGCAACATTTTAAAGTTACATCTTAGTTCAAATCTTGATTTAATGAAAAATGCTTGAATCAGAAGAACTTTTTACTCTATTCCTTGATTATATAAAATTGATTAATAAGATTAATGATTAGTAAGTTTATTGATTAAAAATTATTTCTATATTATTCGTTCTTTCTATAAATCTTTAAAGTTATTAAAATATTTTTTAGGCAAGACAGATATTACAGCTGTTCAAAGAATGAGGTTATATCGCCAGCGAAAAAGTAAAAAATACAAACAGTCAATGAATGTATGTTGATTTTAATTACATGAAGTTCTTCGAACACAATTACATGATGAGTGAAGTTGCGAAAACAATATTTGTTTAGGCGTTTTTTAACATAATCTACTGTGTAAACAAATATTATAGAATTTATTAATCAGCAATTACTTCATTTCTCTAATAAAGGTTCATTTTTAAATGCTAATTACAATGACAAACCGATCATGTCATATTTGAAGTATGACTTTTAATTACATTATTAACTTTCAGCAGGGTGAGTTACAGTAATCGCAAAAAAATCGAAAATGAATTCTTTTTATATCTTTATGTTTCAGAGGTTCCTGAATATTTTGACATACCTTAGAAAAAATTCATGTATGTGTGTTCGAGAACACGGTTGAACCGATTTCAATTATTCAAAAAACATTCGATTGCTGTTGATAAGGAGACGTGCTGATTAGTTTTTGGCATAGGCAGGTCTAGTCGTTTCGAAGATACGGGGCAAAAAGTGCCACAAAAGGTAACTCAGTTTTTAAGATAACGGAGTGTCCGATTTTAAAAAACATTTTACTTAGATTGACAAGATGAACAACTGATCTGAACAAAAAAAAATATTTTTTTTTCAAAAAGTCTTTTTCCAAAAAAATAAATTATTGGTACGGGAAGTTCCAGCAATTTGCCTTAAGGCACGTTGCCATGCGCCCCACTAGTTGTTTGTGCAAAAATTCATATGTATGTGGTCGTCAAAAATTTCGCAATCGTAAATGGGGTCGCGAAGGACAAAAGTTTAAGAAGCCCTGGTCTAGATCACTCTAATCTGGTGGCTGTTTATCGATCTATTTTTAGGCAGATTGACCAATTATCGCCTGGATAATCGACAGTTTATGAAAGCTCAGCAAGTCTTTTTTGTGTTAATATTTTTAGTGTAATCTTTAGTAAGCAGCATATTTATTTAAATCCTGATGCCCCAATTTAATATAAAGCTCAATTAAAATAGTACAGCTTTTGAATGCTTTCCTCTATTTAACCAACTACGGTTCTCCTCATTCACAGACAAACCCTTGCTAGGGTAGAACCCACTCCTCGAAGACATTTCAATCTTGTTCTGGCAATAGTACAATGGAAAACGCTTAGTCGTCGAATCCCTTTGTCGAACACAAAATGCGTTCTCAGGTTTAATAGCTGAAAAGCTGGTGCGATAAGTGTCTTTTTGCCAATTGCAATCATTTTGAAGAAATCTCGAACTGCTTTTCTAACTATATTCATTTGATATAAAACACTTTTGTAATTTCTAAAAAAACAAATTGGAGTCAGTGGTTGAAATGATACTGATTATGATAGTTGATACCATGAAACTTCTAATTTCTAAATCACAGATAATATCAGTAAAAATATAGGAAAACATACTTGATTTTTAAATATATAAACACACTTGGTTTATTCTCGGAATCTTCCGTTGTTGGATAGATTTTAAGTAACCCAAGAAAAAGCTAGGCTTCAAAAATATGGACAATATTGACGTAGCTTTTTTGATAGTTAACTTATAAATATTAGTATTCAGATGTTATATTAATTCACATACATGTTTATCTCATATTGTTATTATTTTTTCATATTCATTTTATCACTAGGCAATTTTTAAATTTTGTTGTTTATTAAATAGTAATTAATCTTCATATATATTCTATGTCTATGTTATAATGGTCACAAACGATAAAAGACGTAGCTCGTATTGATTTTTCTGAAACTTCCATTTAGTCAGTTATTAATTACAGCAGTTTAATACTATAAGACTATTTCATGGGTATTTACTCTTCTGGCAAAACAAAACTTTGAAAACTTTACTGATTGTGAGAATAAGATCAGCTCTCGATGTTATTTTCGCTAGTTTCGAAGACAAAGCTGAATTTAATATTGTTATATACAATCATAATGCATTGTAAACGTAAATTGTTTTAAGGTGATTACAAATGCTTGTGTTGTGTTTCCTTAAAATTCAAACTTAAACTTTTTTAATTTAAATACCAGTTTAAGTATAAATTGATACATTATTAACTTTTCTGATAAGAAATTTTCTGTTTTTGCCAGGAAATCCCATTTGCTAATCTTATGTTTCCTCAACATTTCAAGTCATTCTGAACCATTTGACATCATAAATGGAAAAAGTTTCATAATATAACATTTCACATTTTGTCTGTGTTTTCTCAACACGATCAGCCGGCTTGTTTCTCTAGAATCAGCAAAAAAGTACACTTATTTTGGCAATAAATCCTGAACTGATATTGAAAATGTAAATAAGGTTCAGAAGATATCCATTGGGATTAGTTCTGATCAGTGGTCAAGATCGGCCAGACTTTTTGTAATTGATTGTTGATATTTTTTGGTAGAGTTTTAACTAACATCCTAATATATTACAGGCCTCATTCACACCTCAAATAAAATACATTTTTAGAACTAAAAGTAGCATGAAATGTGTTAAATATTATTAGTTAGTTTATTAGAAAGATATCAGATGAAAATTTTATTGAATAAAATGTTGGAAATTTTATTTAAACACTTAAATATCAAGTCGATTATTCGCATAGAACTGGAAGTTTATGTAAGTTGCAATTAAACTATTGCCTACATGTAGTTAATCCAATAATTTTCATACTTAACTTTTAATCTATTATCTATTATTATATAATTATGTAATTATAACAGTTCCACCAACTAACTTGTTTTTTGCTTTAAAAACGCTATAAATAAAGTACTGAATATTTTCTCAAACTTCTTTGGAATGGAAAATAATTTTATTCGAATGGGTGCCTCAACTTCAATTCTTTCATTTTGATATATATTATTGTTTTTATTATTTTCATTATATTTTAATTAGCTCTAATAGATACGCCACTGGGTGTATCTACTAATTTATAATAAATTTGATCATATATTTGTCAGCATTTTCTGGTTAATGTTAAAATGTATACAGATTGCAGAATAAAATAAAATATAATAAAAACTGTGTGGTGCATGGCATCGTGCCTGCTGGAACTTCACGTACTGTAATCTTGGTACGAAACCCCAAAAAATTGACACAAAATGTGTACACATTATTAAAATCTCTATAAAATATCTAATAATTTGATGTTCATATGTCCAATAAACCAACCGACATTTTTTACTTATTTTTATTGAGAGTCCATAACCGCTGAACCTGCCTTTCCAAAAATTCAATCATTTCTTCATCTTATCAATACCAATAAATTGTTTTTTTGAATTGTTAAAATCGGACGCTCCGTTCTCTTAAAAACTGAGTTACCGTTTTTGGCACTTTTTGCCCCGTATCTTTGGAACGGCGAAACCTGCCTTTGCCAAAAACCAATCAGCACGTCGCCTCATCAATACGAATCGAATGTTTTTTGAATTATTCAAATCGGTTGAACCGTGTTCTCGAAATCGTCGACGAAAATTTGTATCTGCATACAAACACATACATCCATTATTTTTAAGGTATGCCAAAATATTCAGAAAACTTTGAAACGTAAAGATATATAAAAGTTTTCATTTTTA